TTCGAAAGCGTCTTCACAACAGTACGGCATTTTGTGCTTGAAGCTACCGGTACAGCTTATCCGTTCAGAAATCGGTGGCAAGTTTGGACACGTTCAGTTTACGACACGGGCACCGCGCGTACGTTAGTAGCCGCCACAGTCGCTCCCGTATCCTGCCAAAACTGCTGCCGTGGGCGCTTTGGCACCCACGGCAGCAGATAAGGCGGGATACGGTAGCAGGCGACGCAAGCGGCGGGATACGGTAGCAGGCGACGCAAGCGGCGGCAAGGTGCTTTGGTGCTCCCCTTGCGGCGTTTTCGTTCCCGTTCACTTTCTAAAGCCGGTAAGTTGTTAGCGACCATGAGAGAACCATAGTGTTAGCACAGTGCGTTTTTTTTTTTTTTTTTTTTGCCAGGCATCGTGCACCTCAGGCAAATGCAGCCACATAAACTGCACGCGTGTAAGCGTGGGCCGCTTCGCTCGCTCAACAATCAAAGCTTATCATGCTCGGCCTAATGCGACCGCAAACACTGCGGCAGCTTGAAACAGACCACAGCAGCGATTGCACTGTCAAGGAAGCGGCAGGGGTGCTATCGCGAAAGATTGTTTATGATATGCGATTTTTATTGTTAAACATTCACGGCTCGATGATCGCGTTGATAACGTTGATAACGTGGGCGGACCATCGCTCAGACCACTGGCCAAGCGCGAAAATCGCGATAAGCATCCACATCGGAAAAGGCGTCGTTCGGCAATGGCTACCGTCTGCGAGCGGCCCAAAACACCATCCCTGATCTGCACTTGTTGCGCTACAGGCGTCTTCATGAATCAAGTCTGCACAGAGCTTATGGCAAGACAGCAAGCGCTGTTTAGTTCACTTTGCATCTGTAGACACCGCCCTAATAGCGTGCGTATTGCAGGCACAGTCATATGCTTTCAACTCGACCAATCCTCCTACGCGAGCAATACCTCAATTTGAGGTAGCGGAAAAGTCACTTTTTCTGTTCGAGGCCCTCTTCGCTCTTTTATACGCCATATTAACATCTTTATGACATTCAAGAGGACCCATGATTGTTTCGTTTGCGTATTAGACTGTTTGCAAAAAGACGCGTATTCAAGCCGACGTTTAGGACAAAGTAAGCAAGGCCGAAGTGTACAAAGACCGTTTTTCGGCTACGAATTTAGCAAAATTGCCGCACCAGCGTAATAAGGCACGCACTGTGAAGGGTCAGTATTTCTTATTACGCGTTTGTGCTGTTATATCTATGCATGGCCTGCCAGCAAGTGTTAATTATTTATTTTAAGGCAGTGTCCACAGTATACAATCAATCATAGTTGTTGGGGTTCAACGTCCCGAATCCACGATATGAATATGAGAGACGCCGTACTGGAGGAACACGCAAATTTCGACCAGCTGGGGTTCTTTAACGCGCGCCGAAATCTAAGCACACGGGCCTCACCACCGTATTCACAAATAATACTCGACTCGAGTTTCACCCTTCACTTGACAGAGTTGAGTACTGCATCACTGCTCGGCTGAAACTGACGCTCCGCTGCTCGAGAATCGCACCACATTATCGCTGGTATGCAGTGACTTGCCGTGCCTAGAAAGGGCGCTTCCATCGGCTTTCATAGATATGTGTGAAAGACATGAATTGATAATTTGCAACAGTACAGAGAAGTGTGAAGGGCAAATAACAAGGGAAGTAGGAAGGCTGCAGTCGACGATAGATTACGCACTGATGTCACATAGGATGTATGATAATCTCAGGGGCATGCACAAAGATGAGGGTGGCTCCAGAAATCTAGGCAGTGATCACAAAAGTATCAAGATAAGCTTTGGAAAAGCAGTGAAAGTGGGAATTAGACAAGATGAGCAACTACAGGAAAATTTTTATTCAGAAAGGCAAATAGAAATAGCTACTAAACAATTAAGAAAATAATCACTGAGGATGATAAAACAGTGTGGACATACACAAATCTAATTAGACTGTTTGAGCTAGAGCTTGCTAAGGCACGTGACATGTCACCCCGGAAAAGAAGACACAAACACAATAGTTGGTGGAAGGAGGAAGTTAAGAGAGCCATAGCAAAACGTCAGGAAGCCTCTAGGGAACACAGACATGCTAAGCAGCAGGGTGAACCGACAGTTGATGTTGAAAGAAAATGGGAAATCTTTCTAAGCTGTAGAAGGGAATGATCCCTTCTGATCAATGAAAAGATTAGAAGAAAGGCAGCAAAATGGCTGGCAGAAGTACATAAAAAAATAAAAAAGCAGCTGCGAAATTTCGGAACCATCTAAACTCCCTAAGAAATGAGACGAGCCTAGAGCAGAGGTGTTTAACTACAGTTCAAGGTGCTAGGCTAGAAGGGGACGAAGCTATAGAATATATAAGAACAAGGGTGACAGAAAAAATTCAACAAAGAAGTGCTTTATGCACCACAATAGACAATGATGAATCAAGTGGCGCAATGGCTCCATTTCCACAATGAGGGGGGGGGGGGGGGAAGGGCTGAGAAGAGGGTTCCAAGTAGTACATAAACAGGCCCCGATGGCATTCCAATTATGCTGATAAAAACATTGTGTCCGAAGTCTTAACAGACTTTGAGAGAGGCAGTCAGCAGAACAATAATCGATGGAGAAGTTCCCGATGGATGGAAGTTTAGCAGGATGAGTATGATCTATAAAGGAAAGGGGGACAAAGCTGACATAAACAACTACCGTCCTATAACAGTGACATCAGTGGTCTACAGGCTGACGATGCAGATTATAAAGGAAAGACTGCAGGAATGGATAGAGGATGAGGGGGTGCTGGGGGAACTGCGGAATGGGTTTCGGAAACACAGGAGGTTGGAAGACAATCTGTTCTCACTGACGCAGTGCATCTAAATAGAAGAAAAGAAACACAGGCCCCTGTGGCTAGCATTTTTGGATATCAAGGGAGCGTACGATAGCGTGGTTCAAGAGGAATTGTGGGGAATACTGGGCCCACTAGGCGTGGAAGATGTAGTCACTAATCTTTTAAAGGATATCTATAAAGGTAACAAGATAATTATAAAGTGGGAAAACCAGGTATCCAAGCCTGCAGAGGTAAAACGGGGGCTTAGGCAGGGGTGTCCCCTGTCACCCTCATTATTCATGATGTACCTACAAGGATTAGAGGCCAAATTAGAGGGAAGTGGACTGGGCTTCAACCTCTCTTTCGTCAAACAAGGAAAACTCATTGAACAGGCACTACCAGCATTGATGTACGCAGATAATATAGTGCTAATTGCCGACAACAAGGAAGATTTGCAGAGATTGGTGGACATCAGCGGTAATGAGGGAGATGGGTTAGATTGCAGATTCAGTAAGGAAAAATCCGCAGTCATGATTTTTAGTGACAATGAAGGTAGTGAGCTTAGAATACAGGAGGTCACGCTAGAGATAACAGATAAATACAAATATCTGGGCGTATGGATAAACAATGGGGCCGAGTACCTAAGGGAACACGAAATATACGTGTCGACTAAAGGTAACAGGAATGCAGCGGTAATGAAAAACAGGGCACTGTGGAATTACAATAGGTATGATGTTGTGAGGGGAATATGGAAAGGGGTCATGGTTCCTGGTCTGACGTTCGGCAATGCGGTCTTGTGCATGAGATCAGAAGTTCAAACAAGATTAGAAATTAAGCAACGTGGAATAGGTAAGCTTGCCTTAGGAGCTCACGGGAACACACCAAATCAGGTAGTACAAGGTGATATGGAACGGACCTCATTTGAGGGCAGGGAAGCTAGCCGCAAGATAAAATTTGCGAAGCGATTGAGAGAAATGGGGGAAGAGCATTGAGCTAGGAAGGTATTCAGCTACTTGTACCTGAAGAATGTCGATACAAAATGGAAGAAGCGAACCAGAAAACTCACCGGTAAATACTTAGAAGACAGCAGGGGGCCAAACCAAAAAGAATTATCTGTTAACAAGAAGGTGAAGGAAGCTGAGACCGATATGTGGATAATCGACATGGTTAAGATGTCCGCGCTGGGGATTTATCGAACTTTTAAGCAAGGAATTGTCAAGGAAAGGATCTATGATAATACTCGGGGTAGTTCTCTACTGTTTGAGGACAGGACGGGAGTATTGCGAACCAAGACATATCGGGCCAATACAAAGGGGTAGACACGGTGTGCAGTGCGTGTGGAGAGGAAGAGGAAACTGCCGAACATTTGATAATGTTCTGTAAAGTGCTTCACCCTATAGTTCAAGATGATGGCGCAGAGTTTTTCAAAGCACTGGGGTTTGGGGACAGGGAGGGCAAAATAGACATTAAGTGGGTAGAATTAACTAGAAGGAGGTTATCTGATTGGTGGCTAAAGTCAAGACACGAGTGAAAAGTAAACCTTTCACTGCAAAGTACGAGTCCTCAACCTCGCTATTTAAAGGGAACAAAATTTAGTTTTTGGTTCACTAAGTATTACGGCTTGGTGGCGTTAGCCACCGCCCGATCCAAAGGGTACAGCCATATTAATCAATCCATCCATCCATCCAGTGAATGTGAAGCGTTGAGTGAAGGAACGTTCTAGAATACGGGGTCCAATCGTTTACGCCTTCCTCGACAACGCAGCCGCCGCAGCTGGAATTTGATCTGGCGATCCTCGGGTCAGCAGCCGAGTGCCGCGGCCGCTAGACCGCCATAGTGGGTAATGCAACAGAGTGTCATGCAAATGCTTATTGAAGCAATAAAAGAAAGCAATCGTCACTTCGTTGGGCGTGTGAAGCTGTTACGTACCTGACGGGGCCCCGCCGCGGTGGTCTAGTGGCTAAGGTACTCGGCTGCTGACCCGCAGGTCGCGGGTTCAAATCCCGGCTGCGGCGGCTGCGATTCTGATGGAGGCGGAAATGTCGAGGCCCGTGTGCTCAGATTTGGGTGCACGTTAAAGAGCCCCAGGTGGTCAAAATTTCCGGAGCCCTCCACTACGGCGTCTCTCATAATCATATGGTGGTTTTGGGACGTTAAACCCCACAAATCCAATCGACGTACCTGACGGGGTGAAGAAGTGCTCTCCGTGTTGCCTTGCGGTACGAGCATTGCTTCCACGTACTCCTGAACACATTGGTCAGTCCTTACGCTTCTTATTAAAACGCAGACGCCAACCAGCTCAGGGAATATGGGGCCATGTCAGTCGCAAAGCCGTGGTCGCGAATGGCCCATTGCTGTGGATTTCAAGAAAGCCCACGCGCAACAACTCTGTGGCCTGGACGCGACTGCAGCGGTCGTAACGCAGACTGCTCAGACTCTGCCGAATCACGCAGCGGCGTTGCAGCGGGGCGTCGACGAAGGTTGACGACGCTTACTCGACTGTGCGATAAGACGCTACACCGACTGCGAGACACTTTTCATCGCAGCTGCAGTAACTCTCAATTGCCGAGTATCAGCGCCAGTTTTTTTAAAGACGATACTCTTTCTTGGGGACATTCGACGTAAAAACTTTGATCTGTCTGTCCATCTGTACGTTTGTCTGTTTGCCCACCGTTACCGCGAACAGGGTACTGTAAACAGCACCAACCGATACCCCAAACGGCCGACCTCATCCGCAGTGCCCGCCAAATTTGATCAAGAATCAGCGTTCTTACGTGTGCGATTGTCAATTGAAAAGCAATCATTGCGCATATCTGAGGTACCATAAAGACACGTTGATGTTTTGTATGTGTTTTATACTAGAGAACACACACAGAACTATTTCTAAGGACCGTAGCGTTAAACACGCTGCTTAAAAAGGCAAGTTTTACCAACATTTTGCTAAAACGACACGGTGGTGGCACCCGCCTTTCGCTTTGCGTTCTACACCTTATCGCCACCGAGAATGCACGCATCTTTCTCCGCAAGCACGCAGGCCTTCTTTCGTTTTCGGAGATAACTGCCAGATGGCGCTCGTGGCTAACGTGACTTAAGGTCCCTAGATGAAACAAGTTTCCAAGGTAGCGACACCCTCCCTTTTCCTCCTCGCTCATTTGCCTGAAGCACCCCCTAGAAGGTTTAAAACTTTCATCCAAAAGCGAATGTTTGGGTTCTGTTGCTACGGTGAATAGATGTAAATGAAACAAAATGGAACGAGATAAGACGTAGAATAAACAGTCATCTTTATGAACATAAACGGCACAACACAAGAGCAAGCGGGATGTGCGTTACTCAACCGGCAACGTTGTGCAGTTCTATACTTTACACCACTAGCCATGGCGTCTCGCGTAGTACATTTTAGTTCCACGGCCGCGGTATTTTATCCAGTTCTAACTCGTCCACTTCTCCGATTGTGTTTTGTTCGTGCTGTGACACAGTGAACGTGCTTCTTGCTGGATCCTGTAAGTGGCCACAGGGCGTGACGTTGTGACGATTGATTACAACCGGCTTGTGCACACGCAAGAAAAAAAAACTACGACCAGACTGGTACGAACACTCGTCCAGCAGCACTGCGATGACGTTTTTTTTTTTTTTTAATGTGCCCATTTGGACAATCGGGATGCCAAGTGATTCTGATGCGGTGCTGGGAACTTCCTGAAAAGTGAGAGTTCTACTGGTGAGGTGTCTCGAAGCAGCGCGTTTCGGCTCAAGCGGGAACTGGTCAAGAGTGAAATGTTTCTGAAGGTGCGTTGATTAGAACCTACAGCTGCTCTGTATACGTGCATACCCACATGTATTTGTACCAACTGGCATGCACTAGATACGCATTAGACGCGCGCCTGGCGTTTCAATAAAAACCGACAAGTGAACTCGCTTCGCAGATCCGCGTCGACACACGTTGACGGAGTTGCACGAAAGCATTCGCGTGAAATGGTTCATAGTTGCACTTCATGGTGCGCTTCATCTCGGAAAGCACGAGGTAAGTTGAAGAGAGCGAAACCATTTTCTGTTGTTTACGGCAACGCAGCATTGCTGAAAAACGCAGATGTTGCATTGAACGAGCATGGCGAAACAATCTTGGTCGACTTAGCGCACACCGAAACGCTCCTCCTCTTCAGTTTATGTTCTGGCTACGATTTTGTCTTTGGTCACGGCGAGAATCCGGCTGGAGCCATATGCGCATGCGTACTCGTTTTGAACCTTTTGCATAATAATAAATAACACCACCAGCCATTTGCAAGATCACGTGCAAGTAATGCACAAATTACAGACGCGGATTGCAGAGAAAAAAGAGGAGTAATCGAGAGAGTGAGGAAGACGGCTCGAGAACAATGAGTGATGCTACCTTGTTTCATCTAGGGACCTTAACGTGACTCGATGCGCTCGTTCGCCTCCGCTGCACGCTCGAGGCGACGCAGTGCCTCCGGACTACCATTCACAGCTTTTCTTGCGCAGAACATCAAATAAATGTTTTGTTCACTCTCTCCACACTCAAGACTATCGTCTTTCGATGACATTTGCAGATTACATGCAGATACGGGGCCAATTTTTTTTTAATAATTTTTTTTTCTAACAAGAGAGATGTAATGGCAGGTTGAAGTTTTTATGCTTTCCTTACAAAAAAATAAACGCGGGAGTAGAAGGCCTTGCAAAGGGTTCCCTCTTGTGTTGGCACTCAGCAGCAGCACAAATGGCAATACAGAATACATCATACACTTCACATGCAAAACACTGGTCCGGTAATGAAGTAGGCTGTATAGTGGAGGCATTTGATTTTGGCGCCTTGAATTGATTTAGGCTGCAACTAAATTTAAGCGCATGGGCGTCTTTTTGTTCTTTGAATCTTGCGTTTCGCTGCATCAGAATAAGACTGCTGAAGCCGGTAACAAAATATGCTCTTTCGCGCTTAGCAATGCGAAAACACAGCTGGTGACATGGTACGATGCGTTATCGCCATTTAACGCTTTGTCATTTCTCCTCCACCAGTTGCGACTATTTGTGCGACCTTCGCCAACCATTGCGAAAAAAAAGTGCGAAAAAATAAAGGTGTGCAAGCGAATCGACGCTGTCCCCTTGCGCGTTCTCTAGACCAAATTCTAACCTCAATTTCTGCCCGCCGTTGTCGTCTAGTGGTTAAAACGCTCAACAGCTAATCCAAACGTCAAAGGATTGAATTCCAGCTGCATTTTGGATGAAGACAGAAACTTTTGAGGCCCGTCTACTTAGATTTAGATGCACATTAAAGAACCAAAGGGGATCGAAATTTCCGGAGCATACGGTGTCTTTCATAACCATATCGTGGGTTTGGGACGTTAAAGCCCGGTATTATAGCATTATTAACTTCCATTTCTAACCAGAAGAGACCTAGAATTTCTCTTCAGCTTAACTGTAGTGTTTTTGGCGCATCTCACGACGGCTATTTGACAAACTGGGCATTAATGCTTACGCGTAATATAAAAAGGGGCTGACCCACAGCTCTGTGACCGACACCTTGGGAAAACATGTGTTCGAGGTTGTCGAGTCAGATGTGTTTGTGCAACGAGACGCCGCGGTAGTTAACGTTCAGTGTATCTTTTCTCCGCCTACTCGCCCTGATGTTCTTGGCCTCTAGGTGGCACTGCCTGTGTGAACGCGCTCCGTGAGAGCGATCTGAAGAATTGGTCGTTTAGCTCATGTGTAAAAGACAGAAGAATAAATTGTATGAGGAAGCCATCTCATTTCTTCTTCTCTCGCTTATATAAAGTTGGCGGGACGATCTATACCACCCAGCGCTGACGAAGGCGTAAGGAGACACATAAGGGTAAGAAAGACAAGATGTAAAGACTGGAAGGGAGCGGTAAAAGACACAACAATGTCGTATAACTGCACCGTGCGGACCATGCCCAGATATCCACCGACAGTGACGCTCCAGTAGCGACAAGATTCGATATGCCATGAATGCGTGGAATGTCAAATATCTGAGTATGCTTACAAGACAATAGCAGTTCACTCAAGGACCATATGCGCACACAGTTGTAACATTGAAGATAACTCAGGGTGTGTTTGGGGGGGGGGGGGGGGGGGGGGGGGGGGGTACTGCGTTTTTGCTTTTTCGTAAATCGTGAGCAGAAGCGGGGCTTCCCTCAAAAAAAGCTTTTACGTGGTTTAGCACAACTCGGCGCAGGTCGCACGGAAATATTTGCGGAACTTGGCGATTAATATACACCAATCTGATGACGTTGAGAGCACGACGCGAGTGGTGATGTTTATTCTGTAGCGCCAACGCGATCTACCTGTAACGGCGCAAAAATGTTCATTCACGCATGTATCAAAAGATGCCTTTCACTTATGTTCCCTTTATCGATGACCGACTACAACACTCGCCGCACATCGTAGCGTTGTCAGTGTTACTTCCTTTTCATTTCGCCCATTGAAAAACTACCTCTATGCCGGCTTGAGATGTGCGTGTTTCACCGTCACAATGACGTGACAGTAGGTAAGCATTAGCACACCCGTCATTCTAAGAATGACTTGGCATTTGACGGGATCGCCACTTCCCGTGCGGTAAACTATTGTTGACCGCGAGCGAGATTGAACCGTACTTTATTCACATATATTATAACTTCTTTTAAACGCTTTATCTGGCATCCTATCCTGAGCAAAAAGTGCACCACCCTGTACAGTTCATCTGTGCGTCTTTCGCGAAGGCATGAAGTTGCGTGCGAGCACAAAAACCTGTCTCACGTCACAAAGGATCTCTACAGAGTGATTATCGATCACTGGGGCTCACTAACAACACGTGTCAAGCCTACACGCGCAATTCCTAATGCTCTAAAAGCAAGAGAGCGGGAAGAAGACTCTTCCAATCGCTCGTCGAGAGAATGACGCGCGAGCCAGATCACGTGTTTGCTCACGGCTGTGTCGCTTGAGTAGGTATGCAAAATATTTTCCTTTCTTTTCTCCTACGTCTTGCTTGTAAAAAACCCTGCCGGTGGAGGAAAAGAATTGTTTACGTCAACGCGCCAGAGTTCGTAGTTATCAACGCAATCACCCTTTGCGTTTTTTTTTCTTCTTTTTTTTTGTTACTGCGAAAAAAAAGTCAAGGTCGCTTCAGTGAGCGTGGCCTTTGAAGAAAATTCTCACTTTCCAGCTTTCGCGAATGAGGGCCCACTTTCTTCCTGTTCGTAAGCCCTTGTTTACGGATAGCCACCTCCCGCTTCCTGTCTGAAAAGCCGGTGAGCCCGTTTTCCCAATTCTTTTCCTTTTTCTTTCTTTTCGAGTTTGTTTGTAAATCTCTGTGGTATTGACCCCGCAACCAGGCGCCTTCTTGATGGTGTATATTTCAAACAGGAAAGCGAAAGAAAGAGAGCTCCTTTCGAATGTAGGGTAAATGAGGGAAACGGCTTTCGGACTCGTAGTTCGACGCCAAGTGCACTCAGGTCAGAACAAAGATGAGAGAAGAAAGCAAGCCTCAATAAGCGACAGCGAGAGTTCAACACAAGCATGCATTCTCGCGAAGCTCGGCATATTGAGTGGGTACTTTCTAAACTCACCTCAGCTCACTTACTTGCACTCACTCACTATCTCACTCTCTCACTTATTCACTGAAGACGACGAAAGCACTAGTTAGCTTTTTAAAGGCGAACGACTTCGATAAGTCATTGTGACAGTGATGCCGCGTACTGCGCGAGAATGGTGAACTGCGACTGAGCGTGTGTGCTGCGTTACCTGCAGTCTTTCTCCCTCTCTCCACTCCATCTCTCAATCTCCTTTATACGGTTCCCATGCGCGCTGTAGCAAACCGATTGGCCTAAACTGGTTAACCCACCTGCCTTGCCAGTTTTACTATTTCTTGCATCTCTTTTCCGCTCTCTCTCTCTCTTTCAAACTTCCTCAACATTATACAGTTCTAATGCGTATAGTAGCAAACCGGTTGTCTTAAACTGGTGAAAATTCCTGCCTTGTCTTCTCTATTATTTCTTCCATCTCTGTCTCACTCTTTCAAACTCACTATACTATATTGTTTTTTTGTCTTCACCGTCCTTATGCTCATTCACGTGCACTCGACCTGATCGGCACTCACTCGTACTCACAGACACTCGCTGCATTCGAAGTCTCCTGCCGTTGTTATTGTTATCGTCATCCTCCTATTATTACCATCTTAATGGCTGTCTCGTATGATGCTAGGAATGCGTTTCGCCACAGTCACTGCACATTTCCGAGTGAGCCCGCTTTCGCCACGTGCCTGCCATGAGCGGATGGCGGTAAACAGGAACAGTATAGGGGTCATATAAAACACGGTAATGTCATTTTGATCGCCGATACGCCGCGGCAAGAGGGATTACCCCCTCACCACACCTTTCAGACAGATAACAACATTACCATTGAACAGAGTTGCGGCGTAACGCACCGCATCGCTGTGTCATTTACGCCATCGTTTGAACTAACTGTTGCTCACTTATAGTGGCTTTCTTTCGCTGCTAATGGGTGACTTCAATTGTGTATGTGACCTGAACGATCGTAGCAATCATAATAATCACTGAGACAGGAGTGGAGAGCTTTTATCTGGAATTGTAGACAATGCAGGGCTCATTGGAATTGGTGTGTCAGGTGACTACATATACAAGAGCTCAGCGAAGTTCGTATGCTCGCCTTGACCGGATTTACGTGTCCTCATCACACCTTTCCCGCCAAATCCCCCGTGCCAATGCACCAGTGTTGTTCTCAGATCACTGTATTGTTATTGCAGAAATTGTCGCAACTTGTAGAAGCCTATTCCGACCACAGTAAGCCTTTCGGAAGTTAAACACAGAGCTCCTCTGTGATCAAGAATTTAATAATCGTGTACGGACAACATAAAAGCAGTCTTTCTCAAAAGGCTTACATATACATGCTACTTAGGAGCTACTAAAGATGATAGTCTTTCTTGGGGACCTTCAACGCAAAAATTTTGATCTGTCTGTCTGTCTGTCTGTCTGTCTGTCTGTCTGTCTGTCTGTCTGTCTGTCTGTCTGTCTGTCTTTTACAGTACTGGGCACTCTAAATGATCAGCGGATACCCCAAACAGCCGACCCCAACCGCAGTGCCCACCAATGTTGCTCAAGGTTGAGTGTTCATACTTGTGCTATTGTCAATTAAAAAGCAATTATCGCGCATATCTGAGGCACCATAGCAACACGTACATATTCTGTATGTGCGTCTTTTACTAAAAAAAGGCATACGTAGGTTAGTCCAAAGACCGTAGCGTTTATCATGTGACGTTGACCATGCAACGCTTGCACGAATAGGGAAGTGTTTCCAACGCTTTTCTAAGACGACATGGTGGTGGCACCTACCCGTCGCCTTGCATTCTACACTTTATCACCTCTGAGACGGGCGCGCACGTCCATCTGAGAGCCGCACGTTTCGTTTTCCAAGATAACTGCGAGACAGCGCTCATGTCTCACGTGTGAAGTGACTTGGTGCGCTCGTTCGCCTCCGCCGCACGCTCGTGGCACTCTAACGCAGCGCCTCAAGATTACCATTCACCGATTTTCTTGCGCAGAACATCAAATAAACGTTTTGTTCAATCTCTCCAGACGCAGTATCGTCTTTCGACGACATTTGCAGAATAACGTGCAGATACGGGGCCACTTTTTTAACCAAGAAGTTCATGTTATGGCTATATAAATTGCAGCTACTAAGTCTTTCTATAAAAAGAACGAGGGAAAGGCACTGCTTAAAAGGGGCAACCTTCATGAGACGGAATGCGAGACACCGAGATCGTACTTAAATGAAATTGAGGATATAAAATGCCAATTTCAAAGATATGATGCCGCTCGTTACAGAGGTGCACGTATTAGATCTCCAAATATACGTATGTTAAACTCAGAACAGCCAACGCGTCAAGCTTTACTCTATGAAAAACGAAGCGCGATTTTCAAAGTAATCCCAGATCTTTACTCTAATGGTTTCCTCGTAACAGACGTAAGAAACATAACGTCGACATTCGAAAGTACTATGAAAGTTTATTTAGTGCCCTCCCTAACCCTGACGTCAACCTCACCACGAGTTTCGTTTCCCTTTTGATCCCATTGGAAGACGATGATTGTGCGGCCATTACTTGTCCGACTACTATACAGGAAATTGAGCAAGCTATTGACAGCTTACCTTCATCGAAGTCACCAGGCCCTGACGGCATTTCTGTTGAATTTTACCAAACTTTAAAAAGGCTCTCTTCTATATTGCTCAATATCTTTAGAATAAGTTATGACATGAAGACACTCCCAACATTCTTTCGCAAGAGAAACACAGTTTTATACAGAAAAATTCGGACAAGGAAAAACTTTGCTCTGTTGAGGGTTACCGGCCAATAGCGCTATCAAACGTTGATGACAAAATTTTCGCCAAAGTATTATCAAACAGGTTGCAATTTTGCGATGTTCATTCTCATTGGCTCCCACCAAACCTTTGAGATTAAGGGCTGATCTATACAAAATAATATACGCGCCGCTCGTACTGTCTTTTACTACTGTTATGGACATCCAAAATACCTTGCCATATTACAGGTAGACCTTGCAAAAGCCATCGACCGTGTTAGTCATTTGTCACTTATGACATCGATGCACCAGACATTGATCATGTTCTCATTGAAACCATAACGAAACAAAGAACCGACGAAAGCATATATCTCCTCAATATCTACAGCCAACCAAGCCAGCAGAAAACCAACTTTTTTGCCCCGCCGCGGTGGTCTAGTGGCTAAGGTACTCGGCTGCTGACCCGCAGGGCGCGGGTTCGAATCCCGGCTGCGGCGGATGCATTTCCGATGGAGGCGGAAATGTTGTAGGCCCGTGTGCTCAGATTTGGGTGCACGTTAAAGAACCCCAGGTGGTCTAAATTTCCGGAGCCCTCCACTACGGCGTCTCTCATAATCATATATTGGTTTTGGGACGTTAAACCTCACATATCAATCAATCAATCAACCAACTTCAGCTCCCTTCTGCGAAAAGCAGAACAAGCGGCAGGAAAAAAAGAGTCTTGTCATCCTTGGAGACTTCAATGCGTGGCACAAAAGCTGGGGATATGTCAAGGAAACTCAGAAAGGTAGGGATTTGGCCCGAAAAAGCTGATCCCAGAAGGCTAAGCCTCATTACAGACCACACTCAACCAACGTGAGTGGGGAATAGTATCAACAGAGATACGTGCCCGGACTTGGGGTTCGGTAAAGGTGTCAGGAAGGCCCGATGGAAAATGGCGGGGAAACGCTTGGCAGTGACTACTGCATTTGGCGTATCGAGATAGAAACACTCCCGGTAAAGAAACGACATGGCCTGGCTCGACTTACAGACTGGGAAGGTTTTAGAAAAACTAGGTCACAATTCGACGATAAAGAAATTGCGGACATTGAGAGTTGGGTCTCGGGAATCAAGGCAGACTGAAAACGATTAACCCGAGGAGTTACCCTATCGACAAACACGCCCGAGGTGTACAAGCATCTCCTACACCTCTGGGACGCCCGCCGGGGCCTATTAGGAAGATGGAAGCGGCAGAAACACAACCGCAAACTGAGACTTAGGATCGCCGCAGTCACCAGGGAAGCCGAATAGTATGCGACGCAGCTGTCAAGGCGCAACTGGGACCAAAAATGCAACGAGCTACAAGGTACACTAGGTTGGAAAAGGACATGGTCCTTGCTGAGGGCCCTCATAGACCCAACCACGACCAAGACTGAAACTTGCAAGACGACTCAAAAGATTGCACACCGATTCAAAGGCACAGACCGGGAGCTGCTAGAACACATAAAGCTGCGCTATATTGGCGATACAACGAATACTGACTGCAGCCTGGCATACACTAGTGTAGCTAATCCCGCACTGGATGAACCCATTACCACAGAAGAAGTTCGACATGCTATGCTGTCGGCAACAAAGAACACTACGCCAGGAAAGGATGGCATCAGCAACGCTATGATACGGAACCTCGATGACAAATCTATCACAAGGTTTACAGAATTCACCAACAAACATTGGGAAGAGGGTACCGTTCCAAACGACTGGAAACATGCGGAAATAATAATGAATCTAAAGTCTGGAAAGGCTTCAAGTTTGGAAAATTTAAGACCCATTTCGTCATTGACTTCATGTTTGGGAAAAGTATACGAGATAATCGTGCTTCAGAGGCTGGAGACCTACCTGGAAGACAACGAACTCATGCCGCACACCATGTTTGGTTTCCGAAAATGCCTCTCAACTTAGTACGTCCTGCTACAAATCAAGGAGGTGCTTACCGATGTCCCAAAATATGGCGAAAACGTACTACTTCCACTGGATCTTAAGGCTGCTTTCGACAATGTCAGTCATAAGGCTGTGCTAAAGGGGCTTAGCAAATTAGGTTGTGGAAAGCGAATACACAACTACATCAAAGCTTTTCTCAGTAACAGAATCACCACAATTGGTATAGGAGGCATCCACACTGATACGTTTGATACGCCCACAAAAGGAACACCCCGAGGTTCTGTGATATCGCCGATGCAGTTCAACATCGTTATGATCGGCTTAGCTCGGAACCTCGAAAACATTGAAGGACTCAGACATGCCATCTACGCAGACAATGTTACAATCTGGGTGACAAGAGGATCTCTAGACAAAAAACAAGATTTTCTGCAACGCGCAGCTGATACAGTTCACGGACTACGTGCGTCAAAGTGGCCTCGTCTGCTCTCCGGAGAGATCAGAAGTCCTGAGAGTCTACAGACAAGAATACGAACTGCAAAACTCCATAGATGTCTATAGAAGGAGGAAATAGATTCCAGAAGTGTCCCGAATAAAGATTCTCGGCATGTGGATACAAAGCAACTGTCGTATAGACCACACCATCAGACAGCTGTCAAACACTACAGCGCAAATCACGAGGATGATCACCAGAATCTCTAACAAAAGACGGAGTATGAAGGAGGGGGACACTTATAGGCTTGTACAGGCCCTCGTGGTCAGTAGAATTCGTATACAGTGTCCCCTACCAAAAACCACTTCCACAGGAAGAAGAACAATTAGAGGCAATCCTCAGAAAAGCCTACAAGTGCGCCCTTGGTCCTACCTGCCAGCACCTCGACAGAGAAATTCCTTAAACTCGGGATAAACAACTACAGTGCAGGAACACATCGAGGCGCATCTTGTTGCGCAGAAAATGGGATTACTGTTGACTGCTACGGGCAGGCACACGTTGCAGACATTGGGCATGAGGGATGCTTGCGGAGAAATCAATAACACTGGCGAGCATACCAAAGGACATTCGCCAGATCATTGAAGTCAGCCCAATACCTCAAAGCATGCATCCAGAAACCCATAAGGCTCAAAGAAAAGCCAGATCAGAAGCACAAGAAAAAATTTCAAGGCGAGAACCGACGTATTCTACGTTGACGCGACTACATACAGAGAGCACTCCGGGACAGTTGTAAGCGTTGTTGATCACCAACTTAGGCAAGTCAACAGCGCTTTGATCAAAAGCAAAAACATCCTCGAGGCTGAGAAAGTAGCGATCGCGCTCACCATCACACACCAGAGCGAAGAGTCTACTACAGAAATAGTTACTGACTCGCAAGAAGTGTGTCGACGGTACAGCAGTGGACGCATATCCAGTGCTGCCATCCGCATACTCAAGGGAAGAAAAATCAACTTCTTGAGCTGCTCCATTACGTGGACACCAAGCCTTAAAACTGCGACAGGGAACCAGCGTGCCGACGCCAATACCCGAGAATACGCCGACCGGAAGGCGCACAACAACGAGGAACCAGCCACAGTTACTAGACGCTTATGGAGCGATTTCAGAACACCAGAGAGCCCTGAGGAGGACATACCCCCCTCCCACAAAGACCTCAACAGAGAGCAGTCGGTTGCCTGGAGACAGCTGCAGACTAATACGTACCCCAATCTCAGCCTTCTGAGTAAAATCTATCCGGGAGTATACACTAATAAATGCCCGCTATGCAGAGAACATCCCACACTTTACCACGTGACATAAGCTTGCCAACACACACAGGTAGTGCCAAGAAACTGTACACCAACACCGAAGCAGTGGGAGGCTGCGCTGTCCTGCTCTAAGCCTGAAGAACAGCTCAAGCTGATCGACAGAGCTTGCAAGATGGCAAAGGCCACAGGGGCCCTGGACTGAGGGCTCCACCTTCACCGGAAAAAAACTATTTGTAATAAAGTTTTACATTAATTCATTCATTTATTCATTTGTTACTTTACTCTCTTCTGGAACATGCTAATGTCGGCACTGTTGTGCTTAAAGGCGTCAAACTAAGCTAAAATCAATCTTCGTCCGTCCTGTCGGTGGTGGTCAGCTGTCAAAACCAGTTTAGATTTGTTCATCCGTAAAACAGGGCTGCCCCATGTCCCCACTTCTGTTTGTCCTTTATCTAGAGCGGCGATGCTTAAGTATAATACGACCAAGTAGTATTCGCAGATTCGATATATTAGTAACTGAAATGAAAGTATTAGCATGTGCAAACGACGTAGCAGTCTTTCTCACAGATAAACCAAGCATAGAAAATGTGTTATCAGTAGACAAATTTGGCATAGTATCAGGAGCTCGTCTGAACGCCTCTAAGAATTTAAGATTATAGGTGTGTCCTCGTCGGGTAGCACACCTAGTCAATATGCAGGAATTAATTCTACAAGAACTCCAGCAACGTACTACGAAGTAGTATTAGATGCGTATAGATTCAGTGCGCATTACTGGAAGGAGCACGTCCGTAAGCTTGAACGACAAGCCCAGACTCATCGCCTATCAATATTTGGGAGAGCTGAAGGTTGTAATTTTTTTCTGGCAACAAATCTCTACTACGTATTGTAACTTATTCGTTGTGCAAGATTTTATGTACAATTATTTCATCGAATTTTCACAACTTTCATATGGTCTTCTACTTTTGAGCCCATGCGTCGTGACAACATTTTCTGGACAGTTAGTGCTGGTGGGTTAGGATTAAAACGTCTATATCTCTGGCAAACAGTTTCCCGCTTTTTATTTTTTCGTAACGATTTCCATTCCGTATTTCATTCATTCTTGCAGGTTAATCACATGGATTGCTCCCCTGATCTAGTCATTTCTTCAAACATTTTCCGAACGGCCGTGTTTGTTGGGATTCATGCAGGAAGGTTATTTTGCTGTTAGGTTCCTTGAAGCTCGCACTTTTATAGAATACTTGTACACAGTGTTTCGCAAAGTATTATACTAAGATTTACTATCTATGCATTTTGCGCCTCCGTTGTATCATTTATTGTACTCCGGTATGCCAGGTCATGATGTTTTGAAACGAGTGCGCAAAATGTATGTGTCTCCAAATTCAAAAACATTATTCTATAAACTGCATACCTAAACGCTGCCCGTTAAAACATGGTTAAAAAGAAATGTTATTTTTGTTTCCTGTGTTGACTGTCACCTATGTGATGTTCCAGAGACAATAGAACACAGCTTTGTTAGTTGCAAAGATGCTATCTTGTTCTGAGATGTCCTTGAGCGGACTCCGAAAAAACATTTTGATATTATTTTTTACACTATCTGTTACCTTTTGCCGAAATCACCGGATGAAGTGCCTTTTGATATTTTTTTTCTCATGGGTATGCACAGTCTGTGAAAGACGCGTATGCAAGATCTCAATGCAAAACCCATCATTTCTTCGGGATCACATTTCGTTAGAATAGCTGTCCACCTAAAAACATTTTTGATGAAATGGACTTCAAACCGGACTGGTACGCCATTTTGGTGAGGTGCTTGGCCTTGTCACCTGTTGTGTATAACGCAATTTGAAGAACTCTCACTGCTCTGCTGAACTTCGTTAATTTTCAAGTGTTTCTTTAAAAACGCTGAAATGCTTATTGGCGCTCTGTGATTGTACCTATGTTTCATACTATAAGTGCCATATGGTGTTCATTTCAACACACATTGTAATAAATACCAAAAAAGAAAAAAGCGTGTGTGTAGCTCAGTGGTAGAATA